GAGTTCGTTGTTTGTTTTTGAAATGCAATCATTCTGGGTAAGATAGGATGAGTATACGATAGGGCAGAAGGTACTCTAGGATACATTAATATGAATCAAGCCTTACTTAGGTTATTCATTTAATATTGGCAGAAATACCCTTTGCATAAGAGATTGAAAGAGGTTAGAGAATTTGTCCAATGTCGTGTAGCCAATAGGGGGCAACGGGAGAGTCTAAAGTCCACGCTTTTTCTACTATATTCAGGAAGACAGATGGCATAATATGATTATACAAAAGTCACCAAAACTGTGAAAAAAATGCATGGATAATTAATGTTTATGGTTTATCCAGAATTCTAATCATTGCAACATGTGTTCTTAAATCCTTATTAGGCCATCTGAGATAAACCATATGAGGGACTTAAAGTCCATTTATGGACGCTTTGGATCCGAGCTTTACCTGGTCCCCACCTCTCCCTTGGTCCTGAGCTTCTTCTCAATGGCCTCTGTCAGCCTCTGAGGATTGCAGTTGGTAGCTTCTACAAAACCCCAGCACACAGAGCCTGGCCTACACTTACGCACTCAGTAAGTGCCAGCCTTTTCATGCCATCGGGGCCTCGGCAGTGAAGTTTGTTGCAGAAATATGCCCTGTTGCTCTTAGGGCTGCAGCTGTAGGGGAATTGGAGCTACCAATCCTCTCTAAGGCCAGTGCGTGACCTGCTACCTAGTTAGATAGAATTAGGGAGGCGTTTTGCTGAGAAAGTCACCCACAAGCCAGGCAAAGTAATAGTTAAGATGAAACACAGCCAGCTGGGCAGATAAGGTTAGAGTTGGACACAGAGCTTCATCGAAGTTCTTTCAAATAGGGGACAAGATGATGAAAACTGCAGTTGACATTTGGTAACAGTGTAGCTCATCAGTTTCAGGGTATCAGTGACCACGTTCCTGTATCTTAACTGATAAAGAAAGCGGGAGGTTTGTAGAGCGAGGGTGGCTATTGTACTTAGCATAGAGCTATTACAGAAATTGGTTTCAGAGCTAATGAACTCTGCTGGTAGGAAGCTGAGGAAACAGGAGCTGAAGTCCTAGCCACTGATGGTAAGTGCCTTTGGTTTGTTTGTTTTTAAATACTTTGATTTCAAAGAGAGTAGGATTTTCAAATAAAATGTAGGTTAAAGTAATAACTACTATCAATTTGGCTTGAGAGAAATCTGGCGTGAGCGATGGGCAAAGCGGGCGGATGGAGTCCCTGGGTATCCTGTGCGTATGTATGGATTGCTGGTCTACCGTGTTGGAAGTGGACCTGGGTGAGGGTGGGCTGGATGGAACCTTTGTCACGTTCGTCTGGAGTCTCACGTTCCAGAATGATTCTTTCTGGAACCCACTAATGTCCAGAAGTGGAATCTGCTCAGATAGCAGAGAAGGAGAGAGCATTCATGAAGCAAGATGCTGTGTGGCATGGTGGTTAAAGGTGCTGGACTCCCACATGGCAGACCACGGTTCAAGTCTCGGACCTGGTGGCTTGCTTTCTCACTTCCTCTCTTTCTCTCTGTGTCTCTCTGATCAAACTGGAAAATAATAATGATAATAATAATAAATAAAGTTAAATAAGATAATTCTTTTTTAAAAAAAAAAAAAAGATGCTGCTGGCTGAAAGGGATGAAGGAGAAGCCGGTGGGGCGAGGTGCAGGATCTGAACTATAAGCAAGAAGAAAGCACAGGAGGGAAATTCGGGAGGTTGGCAGGTATGGGAAGGCAGGCAGGAGCCAGTCTCTGTGCAGGGGCAAGCAGTGAATAACTGATTTAAGCTGATCTTTGTCAGTGCTGCCTGCTTTGAACCTCTGGTTGACAGCTCCATTTTTTCCCTCCCTTGAAGGCTGGGTAACAATGTGTAGAGACAAGCATGGCCTTCCTGGGCCCCCAAGCTTTACCCACTGAGTGTCAGCTTTTTCTTGAATGAGAGGTGTGTTTCTCACTAGTGGTAGGGCTTCTCCTACAAGACCCCAAGGCCACACTGTCTGTGTGCCATTGTCCCCAAATTGATTATCGACATTGTTAAGTAACTTTGTTGCATGTACAGTATTTGATATGGAAAGCTCTGGACTTATTTAGTCCTTGATGCATGATTCCAGGCAGCTCACCTGAATCCTTTAATTGTGTTTTTTATATATCTATAATCAGTTATTTAATTAGGTTCTTGGCAAAAAAATTAGAACACCAGTTTGTGAGGATAAACTCCATTTGTGAGGGCAAACACAGATCGCAGGTAGCCCTGGAGCTGAGGAACAGCTTTGATTTTTGGTAAAATTTGCGAGTCCACAGCTTTCTGATCAACCTTGTGCTGCTCTGAAATCTCGTATTTCTCCTTCTCTGTCAAAGATCTCAGCTTCCTGGTGTCTGGGTTTCTGGAGTTTTTTTTCCTTGAAGTAAGCATCGGTAAGGTGCTTTGGGATTTTTACTTTGCTAATATCAATTTTCGTGGAGGTGGCAATGACAAATTTCTGGTATGTTCTACGCAGTGGACCTCGATTGAGAACCAGCGGCCCAGTTACAAGTAGCAAGCCACTGCTCAGCTGCTTCAGGAAAACCACTCTCTTGCCTCTGTGGGTCCAGTGAGGATGATCAGATGGTCCCAGGAGTGATGCTTCTCGCAGCTTTCTCACATGCTGACTGGAAGGTTTTTTGCCGTGGTTCAACAGCTTTCGAGGCACATCTTCAGTAGGATAATACCTAGTTCGAGGCACATCTTCGGTAGGATAATACCTAGGCATTTTGCGCAGGTAAACCACCCAGCTACCACCATTCTTGTCTCCACAAACTGGTTTTGTGACAGTCGCAAGAAACTTCTCCTTTTTCTTTTTGATCCTGGATTTAGGGGCCGAGTATTTCCTCTTGTACATGACCTTTCTGGAATATATGGCAGACCGGGAGGGAGTATCTGCCGATGCCCCAGACTAGGACAGGGTTTCAGCTGCAATGGGGCTTCCCCTTCTTGGGCTTTTTAGCCTTGGGGTCACCCTTTTTAACCTTGCCACTGGCATCAGCCTTCTTGGCTTCAGGTTCCTTCTCCTTAGTATCCTGCTTCGCAGCTTTTCACCTGCCATCTTGTACAGTGGGAAAGAGCCTGTCTCCTTTAATTGTAGAGTGTCTTACCTGTGGAATCAGCTCATCAGTACTAATACGAAGCTTCGAAGGTGCTTTTTAATGACTCAATGGGCAGAAAATACTTAGCGGCTCCCTAGCTAACAGAAGGCACTCCCTCATGTCAGATCTCATCATGGTGGTTACTGATTTTCTTCCCTCCTCTGGGAGCCATTACCTTTGTGACCCGCAGACAGGCTGCTGTGACTGCTGATTGCAATGCTGCAGGATCCCCGGCAGAACAAGGACTTCCCTGTTCTTGAATAAGTTGTGAGGTCAGGAGGTTGGTCTCATAGTATCTTCCTCCCTGAACTCCTCTGTGCTTGGTGATGTGGCCTCATAGCTCGAGCACATCTGGAATGTCTTCAGTTTTTGAATGCCTGCTTTTCCTGTAGGCATCTGAAAACCCATATGAAGAAGCAGATGAAAACCTGCTCCTTCATCTACTTCCTTCAAAATGTGCCCTAGATTCATGACAGTTTTTATTCTCCGCCCTGCCTTCATACTCCTGGGTTTTATGGGAGTGCAGGGGCAGACACTGCAAAGAACAGGCCCTCCAAGTTTTGGGGCCACATACAGCTTGGCTGAGGTCCATGCCCCAGGGCAAATGCAGTCTCGAAGGTGGTACACAAAGCAGAAGTCCCCAACAGAGGTGGTGCTGACATTTCACTGGTGTGTGTGTGTGTGCGCATACTCACACATGCAGTGGGTCCTAGTGCAGGATGGAGGGAAGGGTCCCTCTGGTCTGGAACAAAACTCTAACAACAACCAAGATTCCAGTTTCCAGACAGAGGAAGAAAAATGGTGAGGCAGGTTGTCTGGACTCTGACTAGGGCCTGAGGACTAGGCTCAAACTCAGGAAAAAATGGAGAAATGAACTGATGAAGGGGACCTGGGCAAGGATGAGGAGCCATCAACTTGTCTGGGACACATATGTGCTCAGCACATTTGTGATGGCACAGTAAGAGCAACAACAGCATAATCCGTTACTAAGACTGATTTGTACCAGGCCCTGAGCCAAGGACTTTCCACACACCATATCCTGTCTTCCTTTTGATGGTTCTGTGAAGTAGGGATGAAACCAAGCCATGGCTGACTCAAATGCTGAGCCATCAGCTATGCTGGTGAAAGCCTCAGGCTCCCCACAGCAATGAAGGATGCATGGTATGTGTGTGGTTTGGATGCCTGGCTCTGGAGCCCTGTGTGACTGGAGTTCCTCTATCTACCTCCCAGCATCCTGGTAGTCAATGTACCATGAAGGGACTGAGGGTTGAATCTCTGAGTCCTGGAGGAGGGGATAGTGCCCTGGTGGAGAAACATAGACTGAAGGTGGCACCCACTGAAGGGTAACTGAGATTAGACAAGAGCTTATAACTTGAGTCCAAGGTGAGTGTATAGTTCTGGATTTCGACGGCCACAGACTTGATCATGCATGCCTTGTGACAACTATCTCAAATATGACTTATGTATGGGTATTTCCTTTCTCTCACCTCTGCAACCATCTTGTAGGATGTTCTAACCCTCTTAAGTTTTTAGTTTGTCTATTTGCTTCCTTCGGTGTCATGTTATTTGTTCCTCTGTCCTCTATATTTTCTGCAAGTGGAAGTTTGTTCTGGAGTCTCACTTATAGGCCGGTTCCAGTTATACATTCATTCTAGCATGTGCTAGGTTAAAAAAAAAGAAAGTATTTAACTTATCATTGCCTTAGGTCACTGCTGTGAATGAGGCTTATTTTAAAAGCAAATTGGTTTCAAGAAAAGTATTAAGTAAGCCATGGCGTTGGTGGTACAGAGGGTTGGTGAAACCTACGCAGGTGGCCCAGGGGCTGGGAATCTTCCAGTGCATGCTCATTCTAAGTTGGAAATCCGAAGTTCCTAAGCCTACCTCCCAGCAGCCTGGTAGTCCAGGTACCATGAAGGGACTGAGGGTTGAGTCTCTGAGCACTGAGTCCCACCCTCTCAAATCCCTGCTCCCAGTGAGGCTACCAGGATAGGGTGTTGTACCTTGAGGAAAATAAGTGGGATGACATACATGCACCTGAGGTTTCACCTCCCTCTTAGTCTCCCTGTCCATTCCCTAGGCCAAAGCATGTTCTGAAAGTTCATCTCACCCTTAGTTGATTAGAAAATATCACCCATCCTTTGCTGCAAGCTGAGCTGAACAAAGTCTGCTCTATGTTCTGAATGATATCTGAATGTCTTCAATTTATCATCTGAGAAACAGTCCTAAATTCTACGGAAAATCACTGCGCTGGCACCCACATTCAAGATGAGTTTCCTTGGGTCTCACTGCTCTGCAGGAGTGGGAAATAGGAAAGCTCAGAGCATTCACTTGAGAATTCTCCGATCCTTTTATGCAAGAGGAGATGGTGTCCTGGTCTCATAGTCGTGTCCTTGAGAAATGGCCACGCAGATGAGTTCTGGATGGGTCTGAGAGATTTTAGTTTATAGCATTTGAAATGGTTTTATTTCCATTTTGACCTTTATGTATTTATTCTAAGCAGTGGTCCCTGAAAATTTTTTATCCTCTGACAGACCTATTAGATCATGACAGACACCAGAGAATTAAAAAGGCACCAGAGACTTGCACACTAGGGGAATTCTCTTACTAACTAGCCCCCATGCAAAGCGGATCATTGCAAAATGTGATCTATACTAAGATCTTAAAAGCTTACTCATCCTCAACCATGGTGACTAAATAAATGAATTCGGAATGGCTTTCACTCGTTTTCATTAGGAAAGATATGCTGAAAAAAGTGGAGGTTCAAAGTAAACATGGCTCCTTTTGCTCCCTCTCGCTCCTCCGTCTTTGCCTGCTGCCCCCATGAATCCTCTCCACTCAGTTTACCCGTGACAGTCGGTGCCTTCAGTACCTGAGTCAAGTCTAGGACCAGCCACCCATCTCTTATTTCTATGTCCACCTTTATGCGAACACATCCTGAAACCTGCCATTCTCAT